AAAACCTGTGCAATATCTGCAGAGCAGAACTTGCCTTCCACAGCAATTATTTTTAGTTAGCATATAGCTAAAATCTAACCATGGTTTTATAATAGCAGCAGCATTCGGACGTGATAAGCTGTATGTTTTATATTCAATTAACGTATGATCAGATTAGTCGACTAATCGAATAAATAATCGGTCATTAATCGATTATTAAAATAGTTGTTTGTGGCAGCCCTAATTTGAAGCCAATTTTCTTGTAATTTTGGAGTATATTAAACTGTGATGCACGGTTTGGAGATCATTGCACTGAGAAAAAAAAGACAGAGCTGGAAGTGGCAGAGCTGAGGATGTTAAGGCTCTCCTTGGGAGTGACAAGGATGGAGATCAAGAATCAGATCATTAGAGGTCCAACACAGGAAGATAAAGTTAGAGAGGCCAGACTGAGAAACTTCGGACATGTCCAGAGGAGGGACAGTGAGTATTGGTAGAAGGACGTTAGAGATGCAGGTGCCAGAAAAAAGATAGAGTAAACCCAAATATGAGATAGATGGATGCAGATTGAAGACATGGAGGTAGTTGGAGTGAGGACAGAGTCAGATGGAGGAGGATGACTCACTGTGGTGACTCCTGAAGATGGAACAGCCAAAAAAAAAAAGATAATAATTGATTAAACTACAACCTACTTGTCAGCTGTTGTTGTAGATGTGTTTACTGATCCCACATTTACCGTAGTCTTCCAGAATATTGTCGATGAAGTATTAAAACACGTCTTTTATAAAGTCACACTATAATATATGTTTTACCAAATTATCTTAAATTTCCTGCTCTAAGTGTATTTATTGTCGCAAACAATATTAGATGTTTATTATAATATTTCTTCTTCCACAGTCTCAACTAAAGCTCTAATGRTAGCATGAGAAGCTAATGTGTTCACACTACTTCCAGGCCAGTGAATGAAAGCTAAAATTAGCTTTGMTATTTTTAGAGCATCGCCCTCGATAAAACACGTGCATCGTGACGAAAGCTCCAATTTTTYTGCTGTTTTTGGCCACAGACAAGCACTCGCACACGAAGCACTCAGGCTCATAATGAACACGTACTGACTCTCCCACTGCACTTCATTAACCAGTTAGACTGAATTTGCTGTCACATGTTGCTAACAGTAACAGCCCATTGTTTCACTGTCCCTATTCAGTTTTCCATTGTGTTCATCAATCGGCAGTCGAATTTAGAGTACAAATAGACAAAAACACAACATTTCACTGAGTCTTCCTTTTTTATTTTGCATAATTTTTTTGTCTTTTTAACAAATCAGAAAAATGAAGAGAAATAGTGTACAATTTACACATGYCACACAAAGTCTGATCTGGACTCTGCGAAGTTAAGAACTTTCTCACTTAGACAAAACAAAACATTTTAAATAGAAGTTTTCAAACACTTTGATTATTCAGTAAAAATCACTTGAGTGTAATTTTTTTAACATACGGACAAATAATTTTGCAGAAATGCTTGAATACGATTTAACTGATTTTAAAAGTTTTTTACTCTATGCAATTTATAATTAGATCTAAAGCAGGGTCTAAAGGTTCACCGTCTGTGACCAATATTAATAAATGATCKCGTTAAGTTTCAAACTAAGTGTGGTGAAAACAATGAAGCAGACAATAAGACAATACTATTTTAATTCTGCCTAATGTTTTGTTCAAAACCTAGTGAGGARGACACTAAGGAGTCACTAATCTGCAGCTATAATTATCTGTGGAAAGAATTTGTGATATTATGGACTTTCAGGATGCGAGTAACATGAACTGAATAGGATTCTGACAATTTCCCCTAAGATCACTACATTAAAAAAATGTGACAAGTTTTAAATGACATTTAAACTTGATTCAACAGCACYTTTTTCAATTGTGTCTATGTTGAACTTTTGAAAGTTTAGTAAATATTGTCAGTATTAAAACAAAGGTCAGATCATCACTGCAGAAATATAAGTGCATTACATCGGCATATACTGTAAAGGTATAATATGGCTTTAGTTTACCAAAGATGACAAAGAGCTAACTTTAGTATTTGTTTTATTTATTATTTTGCTGGTGTAAAATTACAATTGAATCATGATAATCTATTTAGTAAGTATGATGAAAATCTCTTAGAAACTTACCTGATAAACCAAATAAACGACAGTTTAAAATGCATGCAGGTAAACTAAACTATTTAATTGAACACTAAAGAACATTGTTGGAGTCAATCACCATTACATCATCATATCAAAACATTTACAGTCAAATAAAACTTATAACTTACAGTTAAAACTTAGAATAAAAATACAGAAAATTATGTGAAATTTTGTTAGGGTAGATAATTATTGTTAGAGTGAATATTTTTTCAAGGCATTAGGACATCTGTTTATATGTGTTGAATATTAATGACATTATTAAGAAACTTCAACAATGAATGGTAAATACCTTCAGGTTTCTACTGATTTTTGCAGTGCATTCTCTCATGGTTTTTGTCCTTGAGCAGTCAGGAGCTTGGCAGTACTTTAGCTTGAGAAATTGCTTCATGTATTTGCAGAAACAATAATAATGCCGCTCCATTGCTGGAATTGTGTGACTGAATGCATCAGTTCCTTCAGATTTATATTTATTTTTTTTCTTTTGGGTAGGGCAAAGCTGTTGTTCTATTTCCTAGCRACAATCCATTAAATGCATGCTGGGAATTGTTTCCACATCTTTTTTCTTTGGTTTGATCATGTTCCATTTCCCCATCCGTCTGTGCATATATTTGTATCTCCATTCTCTCTCCTCCTTCCTCCGAGATCTGTCTCTCACGCTCTGATTCGAGRTGCTGAATTATTTAACATCAGACAGTGGGGCTCGGCTGCTGAGCCAGGAGCAGATGGAGAGGAGAGGAGGAAACGCAGGGGAGAGAAGGGAGGCATGGAAGTGTCCGGCGCTGCAGGGAACCGTGAGTCAGCAGGGAGCGAAACGAGCGGTGGGAGGGAGGATAGGGTGCGTTTATAGATAGCTTTAGGTGATACGACAGGAGAGAGCAGCGTCAAATGGAGTGCTTGGTGTTCGTGTATGCGCACGCACGCATCAATTGAACAGAGGAGATCATGGAGCTGAGAGGAGATTAACACATTAGAGCAAAGGAAAGCAGAGCTAACGCCTCCTCTGAATAGCACAGGAAGAGGAGACCTTCAGACAACAAGGACGAGAGGAGCTGTTTGCAGTATGGGGGAGAGCTATATGTACCAACGACTCCCCTACACCAGAGGAGAAGGGGAGGGGGAGGATGAAGAGGAGAGAAACAGAAGAGTCGAGGGACAAATGGTAAAGTCTGAAGACGTGGATAGATGTTCAGTTTCTCTGTCATTGCATTATGTATGTGTTGGTGTGGCCAGATCTGATTGGAGGAAGATAATATCATTGTTTTAGCTGATTACAGGATGTTCATTTCTATGCTCACATTTTTGAGTCTGGCAGAAAGCATTTCAGTCAATAGCTGACTTGTTCTTAGTAATTTGTAAGAAATTGAATAAAATTGATTAAAAGCACCAAATCTAAGCTTGTTTTGTATCTTAGTTTTGATTTACCAAGCATCAAAATGACCAGGTGACTCAGTGTTGAGGACCTGAACCCAAATTAGAAACCACCAACTTTATGTTGACTTCACAGTAAGAAAAAAATAAAGTTAAATCTTCTATTTTGTTTTATTTATGACTAAAATAACCCACATTTTGTACTAGTTTCTGATTTAAAAAAAGTAGTTAAAACATGCAGTTTAAGCATTTGAACTGAAGTTCATTTAGGGTTGTTTTTTTTTTTGTTCTTTTTGTGTGTCTGTATTAAACCTTCACGTTTGAAGATTGTGTGAAATTGTCCAAAAAACCTGGTTGATTTGATAAAAAAAAGTGGGGGCGTGATTCACAAACAAAACGCGCAAAAATACATTTAAAATCTAAATTTATCAAGTTACATTTGTACTAAACCTTGTCTGTACTATAATGTTGACTTCAATTTTTTTAATTATTTGATATGTAAAAAAGGGACYAATGATCTATTAATTGGACTTAGCAAAATATCCCATTGAGTAGAAAACTTTAGACAAGGTTTGCCGCTCTGTTTATTAATAAGCTGGTTTTATCTTAATCATCTGACAAATGYTAAATAAATCCAAATTTGTGTGCTTTAAAACATTCACTGGTGTCCACTCAGAGCAGTTAACAGCACACTAGAACTCATCTCGCTCAGATGCTAAATGTGAGTGTTTAACATGTCATTTATTTTTCACARTTGGTGGTAATCAGTTGTGTATTATGTTTTAGGCCAAAATGATTATTTTTGTACTATTTTCTCAGTGAAAGAGACACTTTTCCCTTTTAGAGTTGATCAAAGTTTTTGTTTGACACATAGTCTATGGGACCCTTTAAATTTGACTAGTTATACATTAAAATCACAAAATTAGAGCCACTGAAGCACACACTTCAAACTGGGTTAAAGTGAATGTATAAACAGCTAAAGATCAGGGGTCTCATTTATAAAGGATTGCGTGGAAACCATACTAAAAGTGAACGTACGGCCAAAAGGCGGAAATGGCGTACGCCAGAAAAAATTCAGATTTATAAAACCGTGTGTACGCTCGTTTCTGCGCACCTTTCCTTCGTAAATCACAGCCGCACGTCAGAGATTGCGCATGAGGTCCCGCCTCAGGTTCTACCCTCTACACGCCCACATTCAACCATAAACAGTCAATGTAAAGTACCTCATGAATGTTGTTTAAATCAGTCAGCTGATCAATGTCAACAAAAGTGATTGGTTCAGAAAAGTGATTGGTCATTACACAGTGTGGCTCTAATTCCTCACTTCACCATCTGTGTCGCAGTTTCACGTCTCCAAAATGAGCGTACGCATGGGTCAGAGCTAGCGTGAGGCNAGCTTCAAATTAATTTTCCATCGGAGCCTGCAATAAACATTAAATTAAATGTCAGATAAAATTAGAAATAAGTCCACCGCTCTTCTCCTCGTCCTCTCCCCCTCCTGCCTGCTCTCTTATCCGCAGCAGACACCCCCGCCCCGCGCACACACACACACACACACACACACACATGCACACACACATCCCTCCGCGCGCGTGACAAATACAGACTTTAAATGTGAAGTTTTATAACAGCCACACTGGCGAGGTGGATGCGCCCTGCGCATGTATCCAAAACTTTTGCTGTCCTGCTGTTCTTATGGGGGAGGGGTCTGTGGGTCAGGGAGGGGTCTGTGGGTCAGGGTCGTCTGAGGTGGAAGTAGATGAATGGAGTTGCACACGGAAACTTTTATTTAAGATTTAAGTTTTTTTTATTTCAAAGGTTCTCATGGCTCAGCAGCAGAAGCATAAATATTACTAAGTTGATTATAAAGTTGAATAAAAATCTAAGTCTGATTCTGAAGGTAAATTAAATATCTGACAGTGGTCATGACACAGTGTGGCTTTAATTCCTAACTTCACCATCTGTGTCACAGTTTCACGTCTCCAAAATGAGCGTACGCATGGGTCAGATCCAGCGTGAGGCACCGCACATTTTCACGTCAAGTTTGGATTTTATAAATCACAACCTTGGCGTGAAAAGTGGCGTACGCAAGTTTCTGGGCTCATATTGTGCGTACACCAGTTTTATAAATCTGACCCCAGGTTATGTACTGATAAGCTCATACAGTATGAAACAGGTGAAATGCTTGTGTTTGTGTGTTCAGATGCAGTGTGAGGAGGGCACCGAGTGGCTGCTGGAGTTGCTGACTGATGTGCAGCTGCAGCAGTACTTTCTGCGGATTCGCGATGAGCTGAACGTCACACGACTCTCCCACTTTGACTATGTCAAGAATGAAGATCTGGAGAAGATCGGCATGGGACGCCCGGGTGGGTCTTCTAAACCTGAGAGGAACTTTTTTTAAAAATTTTATTTGATTGTTGATGTTGTGCTGGTTCAGGTCAGAGGAGGCTTTGGGAAGCCGTCAAGAGAAGAAGAGCCCTCTACAAACGCAAGTCCTGGATGAGCAAGGTGCAGTACAAGCTTTGTCCTGCAGACTGATTTATAAATGAGATGATCTCATAATCTGACATTCATGAACAGTCTCATACTTACAAGTTACATATAAATTACACAAATCCAGTTCTTCCAACCTAACCACATATTTACAGTAGCGTGTTTATCTTTTATTGAGAAGGTGGAACTTGTTAGTGTATTATTTTGTTTTAAAATCTGCATTAAAAGAAGTCATAATATGGCTTTTTTGTAGAAGTCACAAAATAATTATATATTTTTTATTAACTAAGGATTGGTAGTCGTCAATATATTGTATTTCTGGGTCTGTAGGTGTTTCCAGTGAAAAGATCAGACGCTGACCCCCAACCGCCCGTCTCCCAAGGTGCATCATCTGCTGCCCTTCCAGCCAGCAGCGAGCAGGGGGCTTCACTCACCTGCCTCATCAGGGAGTCGGAGCTGCAGCTGTTTGAGCGGCTCGGCGACGGAACATTCGGTGTGGTGCGGCGAGGAGAGTGGGCTGGACCAAACGGCGGAGTGGTGAGATGATAGACAGAAGATGRTTTGTAAAATTTATCATGCTGATGATTGCAGAAACTGTACAAAACATCTAAGGTGTGTTTAGTTACAGTGATTTCTTAGTGTTTTTGTTATATTTTTTAGCTGTCAGTAGCAGTGAAATGTCTAAAGGCAGGCGTTCTGGARGCAGAAGGTCTGGATGACTTCATCAGAGAGGTTAATGCCATGCACACCCTGAGTCACCAGAACCTCATCCGCCTGTATGGGATTGTTCTCACACAGCCTATGAAGATGGTAATTAATACACACAAAGTACAATTGTGATTCAGTTACAGTTTACCTTTAAAAAAAACTATTGATTTCAAATTGTTTATATTTTAAATGTCAGAGTTATCCAGTTTTCATGATCTACCATTGATGACTGYCTTCTGCAGTGTTAACAGCTGTCACAGACAACAGACTCAGAAAGACTTTACTCTAGGTCAGGGCTATTCAACTGGCGGCCCGCGGGCTACATCCGGCCCCGTAAGTGTCCAAAAGGTGGCCTGCCGATTGGTTCATTCATCTCTTAAGTTTAAACCCCCAGTTTTCTACTTTAGTTACAGAGTTCTTTTTGTTAAACAAAGACATGTTTGGTATCTACAGAAACATCAGAATCTTGGCTAGAAGCTGGTGAAAACCACTTCTATGGATATCTAAGACAGTTAAAACTATAAGCAGTTGAAGATAAAACAATGAAAGTGAAAATAAAATTGGTTTAAAAATTTGGCAAGTCATAGATGTCAAAATATTATTTGTGTTAAACAGGAGGCAGAATGTGTGATTTTTGTTTTTGTTTTACTCTCACTACGTTTATTACATAGGGGTCTGTTTGTTATATCCATTATTAAATGCAGCAAAATAAACAATTATTTTGTCACTTCAGTAGAAAAAAGAACTTAATATTTGTTTCTCAATTTCTTCATCATCGGTGACTTTTTTGTGTAGAGGAAAGAGAAAAGGAGAAAAAAGGGGAAATTTAGTTAGAAAGGTTGAAAGAGATATTAGAAAATATTAAATATACACCAAGATAACACAAGGCAACAAAATAAACTTATTCAAAGGTAACACATTTTTGTAATACTTGGTTACTACCAAGTATACTGATACTACTTGCATACTTTAATTGCTGTATATTTGGCCGCTGCTGTTGACCTGCAGTAACTGTGGCCCTCGGAGCAATTTATTTGAATAGCTCTGCTGTAGATAATGTTTGCTGATGAGAAAACACTTCCTGCCATCTCATGGAAACATTCTTAGTGTTGACTGCTCTGGACAAATTTTGCATGTATGCTTACCTCACATTCATCAACTTGTGTACTCACTTCCTGTTACATGTTTGTGTGTAGGTGACTGAGCTGGCTCCTCTGGGCTCCCTGTTAGATCGACTCAGAAAGCGTCAGGGTCACATCCTCATCTCACTTCTGTGCAACTACGGTGTACAGGTCAGTTAAAGCCAAAAGGAGGAGATCAGCTTCAAGTATTTTTCTATTGCAGGTGGTGAACAAAGCACTAATGATGTTTAGTTCCCTTTTTTGTGGGTGATAGGAATTTAACATGCTTTGATTTTTATCTCAAGAGCTTAGAGAGAAAAAATAACTCTGTATTTCACATTATAGTACCACAGGAGCATCTTTTGGTGTTTCTGTACAGGTGGCCTGTGGAATGGCTTACCTGGAGCAGAAACGCTTCCTCCACAGGGATCTGGCCGCCCGCAATGTTCTACTGTTTGCCAATGAAACAGTGAAGATTGGAGACTTTGGCCTGATGAGGGCTCTGCCTACACACACCGACCAATACATCATGGAGGAGGGCCACAAAATCCCTTTCCCATGGTYAGGAGAGCAGGTGTAAATTGTTATTTGACATCCCGTGACTCATTTACTGCCCTTTCCTTATCGTCACACGTCTCCAGGTGTGCTCCAGAGTCATTGAAGTCTCGAACCTTCTCTCATGCATCTGACACCTGGATGTTKGGAGTCACTCTGTGGGAAATGTTCACTCACGGACAGGAGCCATGGCTGGGTCTGAACGGGAGCCAGGTGCACCTTTTTTACATTTTACCATGAAAATTTAGTAGAATAAATGAGTGTTTTTACTGTATATGTTTAAGAATGCATCAATCATTATGTTTATGCTTGTCTTTATCTGCAGATTCTCCACAAAGTGGATGTTGAGGCTGAGAGGTTGTGTAAGCCTGATGACTGTCCRCAAGATACCTACAACGTCATGCTGCAGTGCTGGAGCCCCAAACCTGAAGACAGGCCCACCTTCATCGCTCTCAGAGACTTCCTGCTCGAGGTGGGACAGTGGTCAACAGTGGGTTAGGGTTAGGATCATTGCTTTGTTTACACTGCATTTTGTGAAGACATTGTCTGTGCTATCTATGGCTGTTTTCCTTTTTCCTGAAATAGCGCTCCATTTTTAACTATAGTTTAGTTTTATATCTAGCACTTCTTGTGTCGTGTTTATTTGTAGCGCTTTGAATTAATTCAATTCAATTCAAAAAATTTATTCATTTCATTAAAAAATAACTARATACAATAAAAACAAAGAAAATACACAAATCAAAATAAAATGAAAGGTAGCAGAAGAAGAATAAATCTTATGATGTCTGCCCCTTTTATCCCCAGA